GGCACGGCTGGGTCCGGGACACGGCCCCGGTACCGGCACGGCTGGGTCCGGGACACGGCTGGGTCCGGGGCACGGCTGGGTCCGGGGGCACGGCTGGGTCCAGAGCCCGGCCCCGGTACCGGCACGGCTGAGTCTGGGGCACGGCTGGGTCCGGGGCACGGCTGGGTCCGGGACACGGCCCCGGTACCGGCACGGCTGGGTCCGGAGCCCGGCCCCGGTACCGGCACGGCGGCGTCCTGGTCCCGCAGTTCTTCCCCCGGTACCGGCACGGCGGTGCTCTCCTCCTGCAGCCCGGCCCCGGTACCGGCACAGCGGCGTCCTGGTCCTGCAGCCCTTCCCGGTGCCCTTCCCCCGGTCCCGGCACGGCGGCGTTGTCCCGGTTGCCCGGTCCCGGCAGCCCGGTACCGGCACGGCGGTGTTCTCCTCCTGCAGCCCTTCCCCCGGTCCCGGCACGGCGGCGTTGTCCCGGTTGCCCCGGTGCCCGCAGCCCGCTGCCGCTGCCGCTGCCGGTGCCTCAGCCCGGTGCCGGTGCCGGTGCCCGCAGCTCGGTCCCGCTGCCGCTGCCGCTGCCGCTGCCGCTGCCGCTGCCGCTGCCGCTGCCGGTGCCGCTGCCGGTGCCCGTCCCGGTGCCGCCGCCGCCGGGCCGGTCACAAGGCGGAGACCTTGACGACGCTGGCGGCCGCGCTGGGAGCGTTCGTGCCGGGGCTGCCCGGGCCGGGCCGGCTCTCGCCCTCGGGCGTCAGCGCCGGCGGCGTGGGGATGCTGATGATGGCCGTGGTGATCTGCGCGCCCTTGCAGTTCGGCCTCAGCCCGTCGTCCGGCTTCATGTTGAGGCTGGAACGGCTGGAAAACAAATTTATGCTCGGCTGGGCTCTCGGAGCCAGGCGGCAGGAAGGGGGGACGGCTGCGGTTCCTAATCAGGACCGTACCCAGCTGAAACGGTCAAAGACTCCGTTTAAACATCGCCCCTGCTCCTGCCAGGCACCGTTTATGTCTACACGGATTACACCAGGCTTTGGTAATGCTCCCCCTGGCTAGGAGACAGCTTTTCACGGGGCAAATTGTTCTGTTTCCATTTCCTTCTTGCATAATTCCAGATTATTTAAAAGGACATCTAAATACACTGGCCCGTGCAGTGCATCTTTTCAGAGCACAGGTAGTTCTTTCTGAGAAAGATGTTGTCTTTCTTGCATTTCAAATACCTCTTTCGTATTCACCGTCCCTTGATTTTTTCTATTTTATTTCTCTCTGCAGTAGCTTGAAGGATGTGACAGCTGGGAGCATTTTTATTAGATCTGCATAAATTGCATCCTATAATTAATTACAGGGGGAAAATGATAGGTTGATTTCTGTGCATCTGCACAGCTACAGGAGTCTGCTCTTTGCAGCCCGACACGTTCGTTTTCCACACGAGGCCTGTCCTTGCAGCGAGGGGAGCTCCCAGCTGGGCAGCTGCTGCTGCTGCTTTTGGGGAGTGACTGGGATGGTTTCTGACCCCTCACACATCCAGGAACGATCCCACCCTGCCTCGGGCTCAAGCTGAGCGTGGGGCAGCCCCAGGGCCGGGTGCTTCTGCCAGTGTAACCAGTACACCCAGCTGCTGGCACTGCACATGAAGAATAACATAAAGCCTTTTTTCTCTCTCCATCCCTGCCCAGTTTGGTAAGCAAGTGAAATAAGTGTTGACATTTAAAATATCACCGGCATCTGATTTAGCACCCAGAACAGTTGACATTCCCCTGAATTACTGCTTCAGGTGCTGGTTTAAAATATTGTCATATTGAAACTGAAATAGCTGGAGACTTGTTTTCTGCTTATTCGTTCATAATTCATGCTCTGAAATGCCCTTCTGGCACCAAGTAATCACTTGCTGCCCTGAAGGCGGCTTGTGTTTTGGTTTCTACATCCCTTTGATAGGAGTGGGGAGAAGAGGAATGGGACATAAAAAACCAGCCCTGGTGCACAAAAAACTTAATGGGCTGAGGGGGATTTAGAAAGTAATTTAATATTTCCAGGAATTATATGGTGAATAAATGACTCTTTTTTCAGCAATTTATGTATAAAGTGAAATTTTAAACATTTTCTATTAAGGGACACTTTACCTGTATTCTTTATGGCTTTTTAGGTCACAGCTACTAAGACACCACTGTGAAACTCCTCTTGTTTGCTTCCCAGTGATGCTTAGAGTGGCAATTTAGACTTTTGGACAATGAAAATCGGTGGAGTGTCCCAGGGAGACCATGTCAGCCCTCCAGCAGCTTTGGCTGCTGGCCACTGCCAGCCACTGCCAGCCACTGCTGCCCCCTGGTTCTGCCAGCGTGCCCATTCCCTGGGGAGGTTGCTCCGTGCCTGCCCCTCTGGGCAGGGACACCCCTGACATCCCCCTGCCAAGCTGCCCTGGACTCTGCCTGGAGCCTGCCTCTTCCCAGCACGGCCAGGAGCCAGCCTGGGGGCATCACTGGGGAGCACGGAGACGCTGCCAGCAGCCCCTGCCCCTGGCTGGGCACAGCCCTGCCAGCCCCTCCCTGAGCACAGCTGGGCACAGCTGGGCACAGCCCTGCCAGCCCCTCCCTGAGCACAGCTGGGCACAGCTGGGCACAGCCCTGCCAGCCACTCCCTGGGCACAGCTGGGCACAGCTGGGCACAGCCCTGCCAGCCCCTCCCTGGGCACAGCTGGGCACAGCTGGGCACAGCCCTGCCAGCCCCACCCTGGGCACAGCCCTTTCAGCCCTTCCAGCCCTGCCAGCTCTGCAGCTGGGCACAGCTGGACACCATGCCAAGAGCCCCACCCTGGGCACAGCCCTGCCGCCCCGCCTGCCCTCCCTGGCACCCGCACCTGGCGCTGGGCGAGGGCTGCTCGCTGCACTGGATGTGGATGGTGCTGAGCTCCTGCATGCTCCGCAGCCGCGTGGCGGGCACGCTGCAGTTGGGCAGGTGCGAGCTCTTCTTGTGGCGCCGCGAGCAGCACGAGGTGCCCAGCCCGCGGGCGCTGCCCAGCGAGGGGCTCCGCGACGAGGGGTAGTTCTGCAAGGAGCTCTCCAGGCAGTTCTGCTCGAACAGCTGCTCGTCGATGAACTCGTGGTTCTGCGGGGAGAAGCGGAGCTGTCACTGCGGGCACGGCGGCTGCGAGATGCTCCCTGCCCCGCGCTGCCAGGGCTGCCCGGGCACGGCCGAAGGACGGGACCCTGCCCTCCTGCTTCGCCCTCGGGGCCGGCAGGGACACAGGAGCAGCCGCTGCAGTGAGAAAAGGGCGAGGCTGGCGCTGCTGCCCTGCTCGCACTGCCCGGGACGGGCACGCTGCATCCACAGGATGCGAATTTCTGCTCATCTTTTGTCTGGATTCCAGAACGGCCTCAAAAAGTCTGGAATGCCACATGGTTATGAAACCCAAAGGGAGCCCACGCTCCTTTTCTTTATGCCTGGGAGCAGGATTGTATTTTATTTGGGTGATCACCTGGGTATAGAACTTAATGCTTGCATTGGCTGTTGGGTTCAAAGCATCCCTGCAGGGCATCAGCTGGGAGGAATAAACACAGCAGTGAAGAGGGAGAAGTGTTCAGGGAGAAGGAAATTCAGAAACCTGAATCTGTAAAGAGCTTTTGTGGTAAGGAACAAGAAATCCTGAAAGAAAGAGCTCATATGTGTGGCTAAGAGCACCCAGGCAGGGTGAACAGACCTCATCCAGTCCCTGTCAGCTTCAGAAAAGATGGGAAACAAAAGCAACCATGCTGAAGGCAGCCACAGATCCCACTGGGACAAGTAACAACTCCCACAGGGAACACTGCAAAGCGGAGGGAGCCACGTGCACAAACTCCCCAGCACAGGAGCAGCAGGAGAAGTAAGCAAACACTGTCCAGACATGTCACAGAGACCACAGAGAAAACATTGAATTGAAAAGGAAATACCTTGATGGTGGAAGTTCGTACAGATAACAGGGGATCATCCACAAGATAGGACAATCCCTACGGACAACATGCCAACAGAAGATAAAAACACAGTTCATTGTCCATTCCAGCATCCACAAGTTTAGTCCCAGCTCTGCATCTCTCGCCTCAGCATTCCAGCTCCAGTCTGCATGGGCAACAGACCCTTCCTTCTCTCAGGCCCCTCAACCTGAACCCTGCTGACAATGCAGCTTCTGGGTGTTCTGCTCATGGAAGCGCAACAAAACCCAGAACAAGGTTTTTGCTTTAGAGAGCCAAAGGCAGAGGCCAGCCAGGTTCCAGCTGCTGATTCACAGATCACAGGCTGGCATCGCTTTGCTCTTGTGCCACCAGTGGACTGTGGGGTTTGATCAAACTCTGTGAAAACACTGAAGAGGGGCTTGGTTGAAGGACTGGGCTCAAGGCACTCAGCACTTGGACAAAATACAGCATGTGAATGTCCAGACTCACTCTGGGAGTTGGAATGAGAGGGGAAAAACCTCCTTTTGTTTGAACCAACTCCATCTGCTGTGGGAATATGACAAAGTAATCTCTGTTGTGGCAGCTACAAGTACTCCAGGGTCACTTTGTCATCTGACACAGCAGAGCTGTGACCATTCACAGCCACTCAGCTGGAAGTGTGTGCCACGACAGCCCAGAGACCAGGTCAATAAATAATGCACTTTGAGAATCCTCTGCCTGCTTTCAGGGAGGGTGAATTGCCCATTGAAACAAGCTTACAACCATGGTACATTCCTCATTCCATTCCTGCAACTTGCTCACAAAATGACTCTTCAGTGTTTAAAAATGCTTTCACTGTAATTTACATTTCCTGTTGCACGGTGTTTTAATAGATTCTGTGGAGTACAGGATCTCCACACAAACCCATTGCACTTTCTGGCCTGGTAATTCCAGAGCAGAATCCAAACCTGCTGCCTGATTTGGTGCTACACCCTGGCAATAACTGGCTGAAAACAACACGAGGGGAAACCCCTTAGTGCAGATTCTCCTAAGTTTTGACCACAATTCAAGTATCACTGTTACTGCCATTGTTTGCTGAAAAAGAGGAACATGTGGAACATTTTCAGTCCTGGCACTCATTGTCTGAGCGGGTTTGTGAGCTGGAAGTGGTCAGCCTTTGTCAGTGTGGTGGGCTGACACAGCCAGGGTACCACAGCCCAAATTAGGGCACCACACCCCAAATTAGGGCACACTTTGGTTCCTTCAGCTCCTGAGTGATGGAGCAGCTCGTGCAGCCCCGGAGATGCTCAGCTGCCCCTGCAGGGGCCAGGATCTCTGTGAGCCCTTCCAGGAGGACAGAGGCTGCAGGCAGGGCTCTCAGCCTCTGTCTGTGAGCCAGCCTGCTCAGGTGCTCAAATGAAAGTGCCTGTGTGAAATACGGGTGACAGCAGCCAAGGTTTCAGGCAGAAGGTTCTAAACTGAAGAGTCAGGTTGTGAAATATCTGCTGGTAATGTAACACTGAAATAAAGGCAGGATGAGTTGTGTAAAACAAATCCAGTAGCCACTGATACAGGAAGAATCAGTTCCCTGCCCTCGGCACCCTTAGAGCTCCTTGGGCTCAGGTCACTGTAATTAATTCTCAGCTTCTTCCAGTGTATCTCTGAGGACTATGTGGTGCTACTTCAGCACAAGCCAAACTATGGAAGTGAAGGTGATTTGTCTAAAAGAAACCCTTGCAAGTCAGAAATCAAAAGTACATTTGATGATGGATGCAGATACAAAAAGGCATGAATATTTCAAGTGTTAACCTCTCTTCATTCTCCCTAGAATGAATCATGCTACAGATAATGTGTTCCTTCACTGCAGAACCTTTTATAAAAACCTGGAAGCAAAACATATGTATCAAATAAATATCTGAAATGTTCCCAAAGACTTCTGCATACACAATCGGTCACTAATGCAAAATAAAACTCTCGCTCCCAACACTTGCAGGATGCAAACAGAAAAGTCATGCTGCACAAACTGGCTTTGAGATAAATCAGCTGCCCTTGCGACCAGGAAAGATGTGTGCAACCTGTGAACCCTGGAGCAGAGCTCATCCTCTCTGAGCCACCCCAGGGCTGAGGGCTGTTTTTCCAGCCCGTGGGCTCTGGTCCCAGGCGTGCTGGGAGTCCCCAGAGCATCCTCCTCCCGAGGCAGCAGAGCTGTCCCCTGGTGCTGCTCAGCCCCGGGGACGGGGCGTGCTGTGTGCCTGCAGGGAAATGCACTTTGGGCCTTCCAGCAGCACTGAAAAAATGAAACTTCTTATTCTGAGATCTCCCAGCCTCGCTGACACGTGGGGGTGTTCAGAGGAGCTGCACACTGCTGCTGGCTCCGTGCAGCTGGGGGCTGAGGGCAGCAGGTAACCCCACCGTGGTCCCCCTGCACAGTGACTGCCAGCATTGCACAGACAACGAAGCAGAAATGCATTTGAGCTGCTGCAGAGCGTTCTGGGGAGCCCAGGGGTGAGGGTGGGAGTGCCAGGGGTGTGAGTGCCAGCTGTGTGTGTGTGTGTGTGTGTGTGTGAGTGTGTGAGTGCCAGGGGTGTGAGTGCCAGGTGTCAGTATGTGAGTGCCAGGTGTGAGTGTGTGTGTGCCAGGTGTGAGTGTGTGTGTGCCAGGGGTGTGTGTGTGTGTGTGTGTGTTTGTGTGAGTGCCAGGTGTGTCTGTGAGTGCCAGCTGTGTGAGACTGCCAGCCCTGGGAGTGTGTGCCAGGGTCCCCTCTAAGCCCCCATGTGTTCTGGGGAGCCCAGGTGTGCGTGTGAGTGCCAGGTGTGTGAGTGCCAGGTGTGTGAGTGCCAGGGGTGTGAGTGCCAGCCCTGGGAGTGCTGCCGGGTCCCCTCTTTGCCCCCGTGTGAGATCCCTGCCTGGCAGCCAGGCTGGGCACTGCTGGTACTCACCGTGGTTTTCTCCAGGCAGTGCAGCAGATGGTGGTGTTGGCTCTCGATTAAGGAGGTGCCTTTAGTCGTGTGCTGCTCCTCCTCGGTGGATCCCTGCATGCACAGAAAGAGGAGGGAACAGAACCCAGGCAGTGTAAGCCAGGAGAACAAGCAGGAGCAGCAGGAGCTGAAGGAGAACCACGTCCGTGCTGCCAGGCGTTCCTCCTGGCTCTCAGCAAGTTTCCTCAGCCTTTTCCTTAATGATTTCTCTCGTGCAGCCAGGGGGACTCAGAGCTGCTCCGAGGCCTGGCTGTTCCTGGGTGTTCCTGGGTGTTCCCGGGTGTTCCCGGCTGTTCCTGGGTGTTCCTGGGTGTTCCTGGGTGTTCCCAGGTGTTCCCGGCTGTTCCTGGGTGTTCCCAGGTGTTCCCGGCTGTTCCTGGGTGTTCCTGGGTGTTCCCAGGTGTTCCTGGCTGTTCCTGGGTGTTCCTGGCTGTTCCTGGGTGTTCCTGGGTGTTCCTAGCAGGGGAGGGAGCCCAGGAGGGGCTGCTGAGCTCCCACCCAGCCCCACAGGGAAGGAAAAGGAGACTCTGAGCTGCTGTGCTGGAATCAGTGCTCAGGACCTGCCTGCTCAGGAGAGGAAACGGTGGCAGAACACCCTGCCAAGCCATTGCGTGCTGCTCTCCAGGGATCAAATGCAGCTGTGGTTAAAGCACTGCATTTAATGCACCCTGCGTCCCGCTGCTCCCTGCACGTGCCTGCTCTGCACGCCGCTCCCAGGCTGCTGCTCGATGCTGGAGGGGAGGGATAACTCTGAGCTGACGGCTGCCAAAACACAGCTGAAGTGGTACATTAAGGAAGCTGACTTCCTGAGCACAGAATTAATAGATTCCTGTGGGAATGCTTCTTAGGCAGGTTATGGATGTTTTGTTGCTGTTGTTTTGGAAGATGAACATTCCCAGACGTATTTTTAGAAGTGGCCTAAAAAGAAGAAATCAGTTCCATTTTTCTTATTAACAATCCTCCTGATGAGGTAACACATCCAGCAGGTCCTGCTGGCTCCTGCTGAGACGACTGTCTCCCCTGAAGTCTGGGCTGGAATGTTTCCCATGGAGCTCCTTGGAAGCCCTAAAGCTGAGATGATGCTGCACTAAAACACTGGGAAAGGAGGGAGGAAGAGCACATACTGCAGACGGTGTATTTTTATGAGGATTTGCTGAGAGGAAATCGAAATGGGGTCTGAGAGCCAAGACAGCTTCCCCAGGGCTGGCAGGAGCCCCCGGGCAGTGGCTCAGGCTGGCAGCCCAGCCCAGCCTCTCCTCTGCCTCCCACCTCTGGCTGGGAAAGGGCTCGGGCATGGCAGAGCCCGGCGGGGTGCCAGGGACTGGCATCCTCACCTGCTCCTGGCATCCTCACCTGCTCCTGGCATCCTCACCTGCTCCTGGCAGCAGCCGGGTGGGAAGAGGCACCAGCCCTGCAGAACCTGGCCAGGCCAGGGCAGCAGCCTGGGGATCTGGCATTTTGGGAGCAGTCTGAGGAAAGGGATCCTGCAGAGAGCGGCTCCTGGCTCCTGCAGGCAGAGCCAGGCTGGGCCTTGGGCAGAAGGGGCTGCCTGGAACACAGAGCTGCTGGGGAAGCAGAGCTCTGCTCTTTGAGCAGGGGGGCCAGCCTGGCAAGGCTTTGGTGCCAGCTCCCCTTCAGTCTGCTCTTGGAAGACGTTCAGGGAGCTGCTGCTTGCTTGGGGGAGGCTGCAGCACACTGTGGTGTCAGTGCTGAAATCCAAAGTTCTTCCAGTTCACCTTGATTTCAGTGGGCCCTGGTGAGCTGGTTCAGGGGCCGGGCTGGCCCTGGCCAGGGCTTGTCTGGGGTTGTGAAAAGGCACCAGAGCTCCCAGCCTTCTGTTGCTGGGATATTCACCTCCTGGCACTGCAGCTAAGAGGGAATTTCAGCTGTACAAGGAGATTACTGCTAAGAGGATATGTAGGCTGCTGCCATGGGAAGGATCTCACCATCCCTTGAGCACTTTTGACATAAAGCCCACTAAAAAAACCTCTAAATGAGAAGAAAACAGTCTGAGTACTTCGTGCCTAGATGGCAAATGTCACAAATGCACACGTTTGTGGGGCACGAGTCTGTGCTCCTGCTGGAGGCTGATCTTCCTGCTGCTGGCCTTGGATGAATCCTTCCTTTGCCTCCCCTTCCCTGTGCTGGGGGCTCTGGGACGAGCTGCTCCCTTGGGAGGTGGTGTCGGAGTGCTGGAGCTGCTGGGACCCAGTCCTGGGCTCCTGAGCCCAATCCTGGAGTCCTGAGCCCAGTCCTGGAGTCCTGAGCCCAATGCTGGTGTTCTGAGCCCAATCCTGGAATCCTGATCCCAGTCCTGGGCTCCTGAGCCCAATCCTGGAATCCTGAGCCCAGTCCTGGGCTCCTGAGCCCAATCCTGGAGTCCTGAGCCCAATCCTGGAGTCCTGAGCCCAATGCTGGAGTTCTGAGCCCAATCCTGGAGTCCTGAGCCCAATCCTGGGCTCCTGAGCCCTCCTGGGCTCCATTTGTTGGTTTGGTTGCTGAGCCCAGCGTGGGGCTGGCCCTGCCCGCTGACCCCTCGGTGCCACAGCTCTGCTGTGCTCAGTGACCCTGGGCAGGGCTGGGCTGAGCTGGAATCCCAGCCTGGGCAGCCCCTCCTGCTCACACAAACCCTGGGCAAGGTGTCAGACAGGCCCTGGAGCGAGCAGGGAGCAGCCTGGTGCTCATTTCCCTGACAAATCTGCACAGGATGGAGAGAATGTTTTGGTGCCTGTTACAGCAGCTACACACGCCGTGCTCCTCTGTGTTCTTACAGCTTAAAAAATTTGGCTGTCTAGACTTGCTGTCATTCACATTTCGTACTCTCCAGAAGGGTTTGTTGCTCTGCTGGAAAATGAAGGACATAACATCTTGCCTCGTGGAGTTGAACTGGACACGTAGACCTGTAGGGAAGAATGCTCTGCACTTCTGTAATTAATGAGTGTCTCTACCTGGGCAGAGAGACACGCTGGGCCTTGCCTCTGGCCCGAACCCAGCTGGGATTCCATGATTTAGAGTTATAAACCCACCAGGAAGGAAGTTACAGCCAAAACCTTGTGAAAACCTGCTGCAGGAGCCCCTGTAGATCTAAATTTAGTTATTAATGGGTGAAAATATCTTCTAGAACTTCTTCAGAGATGTTTCTGTTTTCCTTCCTGTGTCTACAGTAGCTTTTTAGCCAAAATGATCCTTTTCCCACTTACTTTTGGGCAGGTGCCAGAAAATGAACCCGTTCAGCCAATATTTCTCTCAGCCTCGTGCATTTTGGACTTGAGCACTGGTGTGCAGCTGCTCTTCCCTGAGTGGTCTTGGCAGGGAGTTTGGTTGACAAGAGGAGTGAGGAGATCCTGGTTGGGATGACAGGCTGGAAGATCAAGTGAAGACTGAGTGATCCTGCTAAGCTCTCCTGGCAATTTTAAAGATCAGAAACCTGAAGCTTAAAAGGAAATGTTACATTTTTAGCCCAATCTTTGCATGTTTCTGGGTAATGAGATAGCAGGATCCCAGCAGAGCTGACTTCAGTGCTGAGCCTTTCCTGAGTGGGGATGAAGCTCTGGGATAGGTGTGAGCAGTCCTGGCTCACTGGATGCAGAAGCTGCTCCTGAGCTGCTCCGCAGTGCCAGAAGTCCACGGAGCCGATTTGCTGAGCGTGGCTGCATGTGCAGGGAGGAGACGAGGCTGGAGGGTGCCAGAAGGATGCAGCTTGTTTTGGAAGGGAGAGCAGAGCCTCTCCCTCCTTCCAAACCTGTGCTGGGTGAGAAGCGCCTCAGTGCAGAGTTCAGAGATCAGGGAAGGGCCAGGTCTGTGCGTCTCAGGCTGCTCTGAGCACATCCCACACACCAGAGCCACGTGCTCCAGTCCTGGCAGCACATTTACAGGGGCTGCAGGGGTTTCAGCTGTGACCTTACAGAATGGTGGGGCTGGAAAAGCCCCCAGCTCCCCCAGCTGCTCCTCAGAGAGCTCCTCACACTCTCATCCCTGCTCTGCTGCTCCTCCCCGGGCACAAAAGCAGGGATGTGTCCCAGGGAGAGTGAAATTGAGGATTAGATCCCAAGTGGGGCTGCACAAATGAGTCCTTAGGTGGCTCCGGGGCTCAGTCATTCTTCATCTCTTTCTCTTTGCTCCCCACGTGCATGAAAGGCTGATTTATTTGAAATGAAATCCATGAAATGTGCTAATACCTGCTCTGGTGTTGATCAGGCTTAATGTAATAACCTCCTCTCGTGTCTGCTGGTTCTGCTGAGCAATCTGAGCACTTAAAACTTTCCTCCTCCTGAGCAGCCAGAGGCCTCTGGAGGCCTTTAAAGATAAACCCAGCACCAGGCAGCCTGAACAGGAGCCAGGGAATATTTCCCTGTCCGGTTGCAGATGATCACATTGTACATCTGAGACCCTAAAGCACGGATGGGGGCAGTGGATGTTTGTCGTGTAAATCAGGCCAGCCCCAGCAGCTCCGGCACAGGCAGGCTCAGAGGGAGCTGTGAGCCTGCTCCTGGCTGCGGGGCTGGCTCCTGTGCAGCTCCTGTGCAGCTCCTGTGCAGCTCAGGGCCAGCTCAGGGAAACCTTCCCTGCCCTGCAGCAGCTGGATTCCAGCTGTGCCTGCACACCTGTGTGGGACCCCGTGTGCCAGGCTGGGGACGAGGGGGAGCTGGGAGCCAGGGAGGGGCTGGCAGGGGCAGAAACAGGGGCAGGGACAGGAACGGGGGCAGGAGAAGGAGCAGGAGAAGTGTCAGGAACAGGAACAGGAACGGGGCAGGAGCAGGAACAGGGCACGGGCAGGGGCAGGGGCAGGGGCAGGAACAGGAACGGGGCAGGAGCAGGAACAGGGCATGGGCAGGGGCGGGAACATGAACAGGGGCAGGGGCAGGGGCAGGGGCAGGGGCAGCAGCTGCCGGGCACTCACCGGGAGCTCCAGGGCCTCGTTGAGCAGCCCGTTGCGCTTGCTGTGCAGGTAGGCGTTGGAGCTGCCCGTCTTGGCCACGCGGATCCGCGCCAGGCGCGCCTTCTGTGGGAGAGACAGCGGGGTCAGAGAGACAGCGGGGTCAGGGAGACAGCAGGGTCAGGGAGAGACAGCGGGGTCAGGGAGAGACAGTGGGGTCAGAGAGACAGCAGGGTCAGGGAGAGACAGCGGGGTCAGAGAGAGACAGCGGGGTCAGGGACAGACAGCGGGGTCAGGGACAGACAGCGGGGTCAGAGAGACAGTGGGGTCAGAGAGACAGCGGGGTCAGAGAGACAGCGGGGTCAGAGAGACAGCGGGGTCAGGGACAGACAGTGGGGCCAGAGAGACAGCGGGGTCAGGGACAGACAGTGGGGCCAGAGAGACAGCGGGGTCAGGGACAGACAGCAGGGTCAGGGAGAGACAGCGGGGTCAGGGACAGACAGCGGGGCCAGAGAGACAGCGGGGTCAGGGACAGACAGCAGGGTCAGGGACAGACAGCGGGGTCAGGGACAGACAGAGGGGTCAGAGAGACAGCGGGGTCAGAGAGACAGCAGGGTCAGGGACAGACAGCGGGGTCAGAGAGACAGCGGGGTCAGGGACAGACAGAGGGGTCAGAGAGACAGCGGGGTCAGAGAGACAGCAGGGTCAGGGACAGACAGCGGGGTCAGAGAGACAGCGGGGTCAGGGACAGACAGAGGGGTCAGAGAGACAGCGGGGTCAGAGAGACAGCAGGGTCAGGGACAGACAGCGGGGTCAGAGAGACAGCGGGGTCAGGGACAGAGCAGGGTCAGGGACAGACAGCAGGGTCAGGGACAGACAGTGGGGTCAGGGACAGACAGCAGGGTCAGGGACAGACAGCAGGGTTAGGGAGAGAGAGTGGGGTCAGGGACAGACAGAGGGGTCAGGGACAGACAGTGGGGTCAGGGACAGACAGCAGGGTCAGGGATAGACAGCGGGGTCAGGGACAGACAGCAGGGTCAGGGACAGACAGCAGGGTCAGGGACAGACAGCGGGGTCAGGGACAGACAGCGGGGTCAGGGACAGACAGCAGGGTCAGGGAGACAGCGGGGTCAGGGACAGACAGCAGGGTCAGGGACAGAGCAGGGTCAGGGACAGACAGCGGGGTCAGGGACAGAACAGGGTCAGGGACAGACAGCGGGGTCAGGGACAGACAGCGGGGTCAGGGACAGACAGCAGGGTCAGGGACAGTGGGGTTAAGTATGAGAAACAATGCTGCAGGGACAGAGGGCCCTCGGGGAGCGTGGGCTGTGGCACTGCTGCTTCACTGACTGGCACCTGATGAAACAACTCTGTCCTAAAACACCTCCAGGGGGACACGTTAGGTGATAAGAAGCAGTCCAGAATAATGCCAACAAGAAAAACGAAGACCCTACCTCTTCTTTTTTGATCATTTTTGATAATTCCTTTTAGCATTTTCCTTTTTCTTTTCAATTGCTGCCTGCTTCTCTGTTGAGTGATTTGCCTTTTTTCTTTTCTACTGTTAATTTATGACTCAAATGCCATTAAAAGTAAATACATTAAATAGCTGCAGCTATTAAAAAATAATTACATTGTGCTGTAGTTTAAAATGCTGCATAATCCCTTAAATAACATGGAGCTCGTGATTTTCCCTTCTAATTAGAGGTGCTAATGGGTAAACGCTGTAGGATGAGGAAAGGCAGGAGGCAAATTTCTGCAGTGGGCCCAGAGAGTGGAGCCATTTCGGGAGCTCCGTCCCTGTCCAGCTGCGAGCCACTCTGGCCCTCAGTACTGGAAATATTTGAAATATTCCTTTAACCTCAAGACCTTGTGCCCATGCAGCCAATTTCTCAGGCAGACACGCACAGGGTAAAGTCTGCAGCTTTAATTGGGTGACACAGACTATGGCCAGCCATAAAAATAGGTCTTCTTTTGACCCCCCAGAATGGGGACACCTGAAATTGGCTTCATTTTCCACACCTCACCTAGATTTCCTTGTCCCATTTTGAGGCTGAGCCTCCTGATCTCACAGTGTGGGGGTGAGATCTCTGTGCTGGGCACAGGGCATGGACTGAGAACACGAGAGCTGAAACTGGATCCTCACTTTTTGGGAACACCTTCCCAAGCTGCTGTGCTGCTCCAGGCCCTGAAAAGGACTGGCCTTAGGCTGGAACCTGGAACAGAATCCGTGGGACTGCTGCTGTGGAATGGGGTCGTGGCAGAGACAGGATGAGGGACTGAGCAATATTCCATTTTCCAGCTACATGGCATTGTCCCTCTGCTCCTGAAAGTTCCATTTCCATTAAATGCTTTCTTCTAAACCCAACTCTGTGCCCTTGTGTGCCTGTTCCTTACTTTTCACAGTGATCTCTCTCCTCTAGCAGTGGATTTTGGAGGTGGTTTTCCCAGGGATGCTCTGATGGTCACCGCCGAAGGTTCCCGATTCTCTCTGTGCCTGATAAAATATCAGCTCCTTTGCTAGAGGAATTGCCAGTGCCCAGCTTTCCTCACCTGTAGCAGGGAAGGTTCATCCTCGTCTCCAGTTGAGTCAATTGTTAAAGTGGATTCAGTCTCAGGCTGTTGTAATGAACATTATTCCCTCTGCCTCCAGGCTAGCAGGGGATCAAATATTAATAGCTGTACTCCATGTGGAGTGGAAATGGTTCTGAGGTCTGTTCCCTTCTCCTTTTGAAACAGGGCCACTTGCTATCTAAATAATTAAGCCCCACAGCTTTTGTAGTTTAGAACAGACGTTGTTATTTTAGAAAATGTCAGTGGGGCAGGACAGAAGTTAATCCTGCTCTCTCACACAAAGGATTGGCGGGGATCGGCACAGCGCCCAGCTCCGGGTCCCCATCGTGATTAAATTTGGTAGATATCTTGATTAACTCAGCTAGAGAAGTTAATTAAAATTGGTGCCTAAAATTGGTTTGGCCCTCCAGACAGTTTCCTCCATTGGACTAGAAAGAACTTTAAAACAACAGCTCAGGTTTTTCTGTGAATGTGTGTGCAAATGTGAGTCCTCTGAAAGCTCTGTCAGGAGGCACAAGCTCTGCCTCTGTCCCGTGGCTCTGTGGGCTCTGGCACTTTGATCAAGTGAGCAGCAAAGACAGCAAAGAAGGCTTTGAGATCTGCCAAATTCTGCCAGTTTTTACCACACGTGGGCAGGTTTTTGCCACCCCTGTCCCGTGGAGCTCAGCGCTCCTGGCCTGGGCAGGCGGGGGCCTGTGGCTCTCTGGCCTTCTGCTGCAAACATCACTTTTGGGGAGGGGTGATTGTCTTCTGCATCTTCTCCCCCAGATGTGACAGACTAAAGGTCAGCAGGGCCGGGCCTGAGATCACTGTTACTGAAATAACCCCTGCACAGGAGGCTAAAAAAGGAAAAGCAAACGGCACACTGTGTCTGCATGGAGATGGGGAGAGGAGTTGCTAGGAAACCACAGGATCTCAAAATGCATATGACCTAATCTGGAAGATAATTTATATGATGAAAATAATAATACTAATGACAGCCACTTACAGGTTAGAATGATTAATTTGGTTATCTTGGAGCCCACGTGTTCCTCAGAGCAGGATGGAAGGCAGGGCTCGGTAACTTTGGGCTTGGCTGGTTTTTAAGAATCTGGAGGCTCAGGATGAGCGGGAGGCAGTGAAGACCTGCACAGGTGGGGAGGGTGCAGCGTCCTGGGTGCCTGCACTGCCCAAAGGGGCTGGCAGAGGACAGAGAAGAGCCTGACTTCATCCCTTTGCTTTTTGGAGAAGTGCAGGGAGCAGGAGCTGCTGCCTGGGAGAAATGCTTACCAGATGGCAGGCTCAGGAAACAGCTAATTATTATTTATTAATGATCTTCATCCAGCTCTTATGGAGATAACGCTCACTCTTGATTTATGTGGGATAAAAAACTATTAGGCTAGAACCTATGACACCATTCCCTATTTGCCAGACAGCTTCAGCTCTCCAGCTCCTCTGCTCCTGAGCAGGCAGGGAGCGCAGTGCCTGCGTGCCAGGAGCTCTGCAGCCCTGTCTGCCCCTGGGCACGGAGCTGGGGCAGCATCTTCCCTCTGCACGAGGCTGAGCTGGAGCAGCATCACCCCACAGGATGAGGCTGAGCTGGGGCAGCATCTTCCCTCAGGATGAGGCTGAGCTGG